TGTCCCCGCAGCCGGCGGCTCCTACTACATGATCTCGCGCTCCCTGGGCCCCGAGTTCGGCGGCGCCGTGGGGCTCTGCTTCTACCTGGGCACCACCTTCGCCGGCGCCATGTACATCCTGGGCACCATCGAGATCCTGCTGGTGAGTCGGGCTCGCGGCCCCGCCGGCCTGGGGTGGGCGCGCGCCGCGGGCGAGGCCGGGCTGTGACGCTCTCCGTGACGCCCTGCCAGGCCTACATCTTCCCGGCCATGGCCATCTTCAAGGGGGACGATGCCAGCGGGGAGGCGGCGGCCATGCTCAACAACATGCGCGTCTACGGCACCTGCGTGCTCACTTGCATGGCCACCGTCGTCTTCGTCGGCGTCAAGTATGTCAACAAGTTCGCCCTGGTCTTCCTGGGCTGCGTCATCCTCTCCATCCTCGCCATCTACGCCGGCGTCATCAAGTCCGCCTTCGACCCGCCCAGCTTCCCGTGAGCACCGCTGGGGGTGGGCTGGGCCTTGGGGCTGCCAGGGGGCCAGGCCCCGGACGCTCACCTCCAGCTGCCCTCCTGCTAGGATCTGCCTGCTGGGCAACCGCACGCTGTCGCGCCACGGGTTCGACACGTGCGTCAAGCTGGTGGTGGAGGGCAACGAGACGGTGGGCTCCAAGCTCTGGGAGCTGTTCTGCACCTCCCGCTTCCTCAACGCCACCTGCGACGACTACTTCACCCACAACAACGTGACCGAGATCGAGGGCATCCCCGGGGCCGCCAGCGGCCTGATCCAGGGTACGAGGCGCCGTGGGCAGGGCTGGGCACGGGCTCGGCGGGGATGGGAGGAGCAGCGCAAGCACCCGGACCCCGCTGCGGGCCTGGCTGTGGCTCCCGGGGCCCCGCGGCCGGAGGAGCAGCCGCTGCCTCGCAGCCAGCAAGGGCTGCATCGACCTGTGGTGGCGAGGACCGGCTCCCTGCTCCCTCCCCGCGGCTTTACCGATCTGCGGCCACGCGCGGGCTGGACGGGGGCCAGAGCCACCGGAAGGCCTGGAGCGCGTTGCTGGCAGGAGCCGCGGGCGATAGCTGTGCCAAGCCACGGGGACAGGCCAGGAGGACGAGAGCTCCCTCCGCCCTGGCCCCGGCCCCGGCTGTCCTGCTGCCTTGAGTCGGACCGCCTGCAGTGCCGCGCTGGCCCGGCCCGGACACACGTGGCACTGGCGCCACTGACAGTCCTGCTGCGGGCCTGCGCTCAGGGTGCAGGGCGCCAGCCCCTCGCTACCGCCCGGCCTGCGGCCAGCTGGGCCCGTGCGGGGCACGCCCGTGGGGTC